CAGATTCACCAACAAACCCAGCGTTTTGCAGCCTATTGATAGCTAGTGCTAGTGGCCTTTATGGCATAAGCATCCCTTTATCGCCAGTCTAACATCATCACAAAATAGAACGGATATACATCACCACACGACATGAATAGAGCAATCCAATGCATATTCTGCAAGACTCTACCTCATTTAAGCTATTAGGGCTTACAATAACTCTAAAGCAAGCCGGCAGGCACCATTCTTGCTCAAGGTGTCGAGCTGGTTAATAAAATGGTTTTAAGACGATGTGACACAACTGATATGTTAATGCATGTCATGCGATTACGAAATCTGTAATACTTAATAATATTCTGGATTTTCCCACCCGATAAACTATGATAATGACCGAATTTAGTTCCAAGTTTGAGTGGGGTCACGTGATGAAGAATGGCAAGCGCTTAGCAGTGCAGCCATGTCAGAGATATTCAGGCGCTTTCGAGACACAACAGGCCTGCATGTGTGTTTTGGAACGGGATAAATATTCCGAAACCCCACACCAGACCATTGAGAAGTTGTCGCTCTTCGCTGTCCGCCGCACGTCCGAAACTGCACCCATTCTGCACAGGGAAGGCGCGGTCCATAGATTGCGGACTGTGCTCACGCAGGAGGCTCCTGAGCCTTGCTACAGGACAGAGCAGTGGCGATTTGGCCAGCCGTGAGAGCAGCGATGTCAGCTGTCCCCGCAAAACCATGGCAATGTCCTCGCACAATGTTGTTAAGGACCCTCTGAAAACTGAATAAATTTAACTGTCAATGGCGGATGCGAAACACATTTGACATTGTCGTGAGGCCCGGCGAATCGATGGAGGCCTCTCAGACAGGCCCAGGGAATCGAGGCTAACAGCGAGGCACACAACGGTGATAAGTGATGTCCCTAGATGCTCTAGGGCTGGAACGAGAGGAGTTCAAGTGGTCTCGAAGATCAAATGGTCTCGAATTCGAGCCACCAAAAATTCAGAGGGTCTTTAAAGAAAGCAAAACAGCCAGGCGTCTTCCAAAAGAGCTAAGGACCTTCAAATTAGCCAAGGCTCCCCAAAAAACCAGGGGATCCTCAGACGCAGCCGATCCGCAGAACAAGATCAACAGCCCCTAACTCTCAAGCAGCTCAGAGCTGATCAGAGTCAACAGGAACGTTGAGGGGATCCGGGCTCTAAAGAGGTCGAAATAACCGAAATGTCCCGGCTGATTACAGGGCGCAGGGTTAGTCTCACTGTCTCGAAGCGGCGAGGGACCACAAAACAACTAAGACAACTAAACGTTTGCGGGCCGAAACGGTCAAAGGGTATAAAGATACCAAATAAAAAAGTCTACGAACCTAAGCCAGGTCACCATCTCGGGTCCATTGATCCCAGACGGCCAAGGGACCTAAACTGACAAGAGGCCGGAAGATCACGGTTGGCGAAACGATTTTTTCACGGTTGATCACGATTGAAAACGGAGTGGCCACGTCAAGATTGTTAAACCTATCCGAAAACTGGTAGGATGGCACCCTAAAGCCTTCAGGCGACCAAAGGCAGCCAGAGATCCCCAAAACTGCCCAGTGGCCCGTGGAGGCGGCATGGTCTAAAATATTAACGACCCTAGGGAGATAAAAGGCCACCAAGTCGGCCAATATTTAGGGACACTGACAGGACAACCGGGTCCTCAAAATTGGTAACAGGCGGCGCTAATAGCCAATAAGTGTGCAGGCGCCCCCTGAATACTAAATTTCGCATTGTTCAAGGATCAGTTCAAGCTAATCAGCCAGCTGACAACCAGCCAAGCCAAGTGGTGATATTGTCGGGGCATTGGGATTATAAAGAACCCTGGGACAGTCAAATGTTCCGCAAAGGAGATGCTAAGAGCACGAGTCTCAGGTACTGAGAAGGAGCCCGTGCAGGCTAGGAGACCCATTAGGCAAACTTGAGTTAGCTCTACCCCTGGTAGTAGAAGTGAAATAAGTAGTAGTGATAGTAGAAGTGGTAGTAGTAGAAGTGGTAGCAGCAGTGGTGGTGGTTGAAGCGGAAGAAGAAGCAGAAGTAGTAGCAATAGTAGTGGTAGTAATGATAGTAGCAGCAGCAGCAGTAGTAGTAGTAGTAGTAGTAGCAGTAGTAGTAGTAGCGGTAGAAGAAGTAGTAGGAGAAGAAGTAGTAGTAGTGGTGGCGGTAAGGCTGGTGGTAGTGGTAGTAGTAGCAGAAGTAGCAGAATTAGTAGTAGCAGTAGTGGTAGTGATAGCAGTAGCAGAAGAATTAGTACCAGTAGTGGCAGTAATAGTAGTAATAGCACACATAGCACTAGCAGAAGTAGAGGTAGCAGTAGTGGAAGTAGTACTAGTAGTAGCACAAGTGGTAGTAGCCGTAGTAGTAGCAACAGCAGTAGTAGCAGAAGTAATAGTAACATAAATGGTAGCAATAGAAGAAGTAACAGAAGAATTGGCAGCAAAAGTAATGGCAGCCGTGGTGGTAGTAGTAGTCGAGGGGCACATGCTCTGTAGTGTGAAGCATACCCAATCGGAGAGGGTTGGGGCCAAGGCTATTCTGCGTCAGTTCTTTTTTTATAATATCACAGGTTGTGCTAAATTTTGCTGATATGGGGGCGTGGTGCTGCGATGCCCCTCCCCTCCTCCAAGTTCCCCGACACTGGCCATGCATTCCCCCCTCCCCCCTCCCCCCCCCATTAGTCAAGGAATGCCAGTTTCGACAAACCTGACGAGAAACAATGGGTTTCACCACTGTTCATCCTATTTTCCGTGCGTTCCAGATTTGAGGACAAATTAGGGGTCGGCGTCTAACAATGCTGGCGTGAAACACCACACATCTGACTCTCAAACACAGTATGTCGCCTCTACGTGAAAAACAAACTTTGCAAATACATGAAACCCAGTTATAATGTGTGTAGTGCTGGTTTACATATGTCGCATGCTATGGTCTATCAGTGAGCTCGTGTATGCATTACGCTGGCCTGTATACTGGTCTGGCTTCTGTACTTAGTTTGCAATTTTGCTCTCCACAATTAACACATGATGCGCGTTTCTGTATTGTGTTGGCGTCGATCTTGCGTTAACTTCTTAGTTACACCTGGATTTTTCTTATCTTGGAATTGCAGTTCAATTTATGCACATGACTGTCAGTGTTAGTGGACCATCATGAATATGGCATGAATTTGCATATCATGCTGTTCACTGTTATTCTTGTGTTTTAAAAGCGCTGTGTCCGTGCCTTATTGCAATGCGCTACCTTATGTTGCCTCGTAATCGTAAGACGCAGAGCCAAGCAGAGATGAAAATACTTTGGCATGCTGTGGCAAAGATTGAGGTGGAATCTCCCTGTGTTGACACCCCAAGATATCGTGTGAAGTCACTGCTCGGCAATGTTATATACTCTGAATCACTAGTTAACAAGCTGTCTTCTGCAATGCGATTGTCGGTAATTCCATCATACACATTGTATAAAGGTCAGAAGAGTGGGACACCGATGTATTTACGACGATGCAATAGTTCATTGAAGTGATGCATTTGCAGCATGGGTAGTCAGAACGGTCAGACACGCTGCGATTCGAGGCACATTAGTTATGCTAATAACTACGGCAATATCCAGGCAACGTTGAGACTCCTGAACATCCCTACCATACCATATCACAGATGTGGTGCATAAAGCTGTATCACATAACGGATGATACCTCAACAAAGCAGTTTGCTTTGCTTAGTTGATCTGCAGTAGCCATAGCAAAGTCGAGCAATAATGCTTGACATTTGTCGGCATCCACTAAGCTTTCAGCCGCAAGGCACGAGTGTGAATAAATACACAGTAATCTCAGGCAACACCGCGCAGCATGCCAATGATCGACAGCTGTTCCTAATCTTGGTGATTAATAAAAAGCAGCTCACTTTTATTCAGTTTACTCCGATGCATAAAGTTGTTTTTTTCTATTACAAGGCACCTTTCAAAGATATTCTGTTCAGCATTGGTCCAGTCACAAAAGGCTCGAACCAAAGCTTGAAAAAACGCGGTGTTTTTGGAAGTTTTCCTTGACACTTAATAAGTCATAGGCAACAAACTGATATTTGTATTCAAATTTTTCAAGTCAAGGTGGAAATTTTCACCCGCACTAAATACCAAATCGATTTATTTCACTACCATTGTGCTGTTCGTAATTCGACTACTGATCAAAGCTGAATCCTCCTTTAATTGCGTAGGCGGTCTTAGGCATCTTAGGCAAGGCATCTTAGAAGTACAAAAAAGTAGGAATCATAAGATACGGCAAAACACTACAACATATAGCCCTCCTACAACATGGACGTCAAGAACGGACTATGTTCGACACCTACGGTACACAGGCATGTTACAGATGTTGAAACCGATGGCCGGATTAGAGAATACTACGAACGCACTTGCGCAAGTACTGATCAGCATGACAAACTCGACGTTTCCCGGAATTTCCGATCATACCCCATAGATAGGGAAGGCGGAAGTGAGAAGAAGACCCCGAGCAGCGAGGCCTACTTAGAAACGAAGCAAACACAGAGAACACATGTCTGCATGATTTGTATAGACCTGACGCGAGGAAGTGAAGTTAACCATATGCAACGCGATTGCTGAATGTGCTTGATGAAAAGAACATTTATTATCCGTGCACCCAGGTATGTTACTGATGCTCTGCGATCTCTGTGAATGAAAAGCGAGCAACATTGCCAACGTTGGCAGCGCTCCCGTGTGCAAGAGCGGCGTGGACTGAAGTCAGTAGCCCTGCCGTGGACCTGAGCTCGCAGGCTTCAGTCGGCCGCCGGTGCGCGACGGCACGCCGTCGATACTAATCTGGAGAGGCCAACCCCGCCGAGACACGCCGACTCCAGACCTGTCATCCCACTCCACACAAGTTCCGTCACCATTACTCTGTCCTTCAGACCAGGACGTATGCGCGCGCACTTCTGCCGGACCGTGCTGTTACGAAAGTGCCTGAGGCCACGAGGGACGGTGGCGGGGGCGGGGTGCTGTCTATTTGCCGGCGGCCTCCGCCTCCAGGTCGTGGACAGTGGGCAGCGGCTCGGCGGCGCCAGGGAGAGCGGCCCCGGGCGCCGACTGTGCCGGCTGGTACAGCGGCGCGCCGCCGCCAAACGCGGCCATCGGGTACTGAGTGCCGGGCGACACGGCCACCGGAAAGCCCATCATCACCCCTGGAATGAGCACCGGTCATCAGCGGCTGCAATGATGGAAAGTTCACCAGTACCTTCACACGGGCACTGCGCACCGTCGGAAAAGGTAGCGAAGCGAAGCACCGTAGCGAAGCAGATAAGCAGTTGGGACTCCGAAAGCGTCATCGAACTAGTGAGGTCCACCTAATTAGCGTTATCTATACATATGTGTCTATCACCGACGAACGTCAAGACAATATTCATGATGAATGGCTACACTTTGACATCTGTAACACAGCACCAACTCCTCGGCAAAGAGAAAAAATTAAGATGTGTGTGGCAAGCACTGTCCACCACGTGCAGCAAGTGCTAACAGCCACAGCTATGTTCACAGGCCACACCAACCCAATGGCCCTGAAGGCGCTTTGCAGCCTTCAGTGGGATCACAGCTTGCTGCCTCCATAATCCAGGATTACTTCCGATAGGGATCATCAACCCCCGTCTCCCTGAAACCTGATTACTTTCGGCCGGTACCATTAACTCCTACCTCCCTGAACCCTGATTACCTTCAGCAGGTACCACCAACACCCGCCTGTTTGTACCTTGGTCACCTCCGGCCCATACCACGACCTCCTGCTTCCCTGAGCTTTGATTACCTCCGGCCGGTACCACTAACTCCCTGAACCCTGATTACCTCCGGCCGGTACCATGGCCTGCATGCCAGGAGAGACGAGCATCATCTGCTGCTGCCCGGGCACCGGGGACGGCGCTGTGGACACAGAGCCACCGGACCGGTCAGGGACCAACGGACCGACAGCACCGGTTGGTCAGGGAGCAGGGGGACCGGCAGCAGCAAGGGCCGGTGAGTGGCACGGGGACCAACAGCACGGGTCGGTCAGGGAGCAGGGGACCGACGGCATGTGTTGGACAGCGCCGTGCCGAACAACAGGGTCGGACAGCCAGCGGTCAGAACAGTGACACCATAAGGCCCCCCGGGGTAGACGCGCTGCTGTCGTAAGAAGCGAATAGTCAGTCCCGCTACACAGCCGGTGATTGTGACTGAAATAAACAGCAATTCACCCATTCACCACTCCCTCACCATTAAGTGACACGAGCACAAATTGGGCTCAACATATGCTGCAAATGGGCTTACACTTTCTCATGAAGAACGGTCACCTGAAGCGTGTTGCCAGTGATGAAAATCTGGTATTTTTAGGCTGCCTGAATGCTTTTATGAGTGATGAGTGGGCCCGCAACACGAGATCCTGACTCTTTGTAGATTGCGCGGAAAAGTTTGATAAAGTGGCATGCAAGTGAGCTTGATCGTGATTAAGTAATAACGTTTGTTGATGCACTCAAAGCTGTATTTTCTAAAATGCTGCGCGAGTGCATTCCCTTGAGCAAAGAAGGTGGGAATCTGAAATGTATCGCTCCGCGGGGCAACATGGCACCTTGGCACATCATGAAGAATGAGTGACCGACTGCAAGGCGGGTTTGGTAATGGCGAGATCGCCACATGTAACCACATCTAAGCAGTGTCCCTCACAGGCTAGTAGGCGTCCATGGACACTCGTTGGCGATGCTACTTGTCTGTGAATGGAAGTGGCTTGCTATTTTTGTTAAGGCAACGAGAATCAACTGGATTGGTGTGATGCAAAGCAGAACGGGGATGCTGGATTTAATTAGAGAAGAAAAGAAAGCACAAAAGAGCCCAAGATTCAAGGACATTTTTACCTTGGCTACCAGCCAGCATGTTACCTGAGTAGAGTTATGCGTAACTAAAGATTACGTCTACAGCACGTGTTACACTACATTCATCACCATCGTGTACTGTTGCGTACAGCGATGTGTCCCGCATTCCCTTTTCGGCCCCTTTCAGTTGAGACGTGTTTGCCGCGTTACGCCACCTTACTTTAATGTTATTGATCACAAGTAGCAATGAGATAAGGAAATCAAGATAGCCGTTTAGTCTAAGGTCTTGCAGAATAAAAGCATCACGGATTTCACGATCGAAAACAGTCACATGTCTTTTCCGTTAGCTGCAAACCCCCTGCGCACGCATGATGTACGACAGACGTACCAGAGTGACAGTTTCTTACCTCAACTTAGAATCGTAGTCATATACCCGAGCAGAAAGCGATTGCTGGGTCTTGACGCTGGGCGGAAAATAATCTCACAGTAATTTTTCTGTCAGACTGAAGCTTGTGTCAAAACTGATATTTCGAGTGAGATTGTGCTGCTATAGTAATTATCCTAATTTTAACGTCGTCATTTTTAGCCTGAAGTTGAATTGTCTGGTATTAACAAAGCCCTTGCGCACAGATTTATCCAACACCGACCAGCCGAATGCTTTGGGTATGTCTGGCGGTTTGGACCGCCCATGTCGTATCGTGATGTAAAATCAGTGTCCTTGAGTTGAAAATAAAGGCACCGGCTTCCTCTCCCAAAACAATGATTCAGCACTGAGCGCCGGGGCGCAATACGAAACCACACAGGAACGCTTTTTAGGAGCGTCCTAGTTTTGGGGCATATTTCGAACCCACGTTCACTTATGTCTAATAATAGTACTGGGTAGTGCCACTGCAGCACCATCAAGATATAATGAGAGCATAAGCTCGAATTCTTTTTTAGTCAAAATTACTCCGCCAGCGTTTTGGTACAGCACTACAGTTCTTTCTTGGTAGCCCCAAGGTGTAGCCCCAGTCCGCGACAACTGCATTTGTCATGGCACGGTGGCATTTGTCACTGTCACCGTGATGGCGGCGGCAGAATCTGCTAACACATTCGTTTGCTGCTACGGAGTAAAGGCAGCACTTTCGGGCTATTTTAATCCGTACATTGAGGGCCTGCAGGCAACTGAGCGTTTGTGATTGGCACAGCGAGCGGCGAAGGCAATCTACCGAGAAGCGCATTGGTTAAAGTTTGAACCAGTGCATCACTTGGTAGAGCTCATGTGATTCTCTGTTTCCCAAAGTCAAAGTGCGCTTCGAAAAGGGCCACTGTGCCAGATTTCATAGGGGAGATCAAAGTCATAGCACAACGTTTCGTCGAATTCGCGTGATATTCTATTCGCGTGAATTATAAGTGGCCTCTTAGGCCACTTAGGCATCATGTTTGTATATCCTATCCTCTAAAGTGTTGTAAGCTTTCATAGCATTTATTACACAAGCATTTTGACGAATTAGTATGTATGTCGTTAACATTATAGAATGTTGAAAAGGCAGGACAAATGAAAAATATTGCTTTCATAGCGGTGAACATGAAGTTTGCTGAAACTTCTGTCACATTATTCCCTTTTGATATTGTTTCCATAAATTCATGTTGCCAAAATATTAACACATCTATATCTCCATTCTCCCGGTTTTTCTCCGAGGAATGAGGCTATTACTACCGTCTTATCTATGTGAATAGTGTTCCTCGCAAACGCACTGGCAACTTATGTAAATACTTTAGTACGTACAGGAATTGTTTGTGAAAAATATATTTGGTATGAATAGCTTTCCAGTTTCACCAGTTTCAATAGATTGTATCCATTAGGCCCAAGTTATTTCAAATCAGTATTTTAATGTGGACATTGACTGTTGTCATATAAACTTGAAAAATAAATTTAGGTTCAAGATTGTGTCACTAGTATCAAAAGCCCGTACCCATTAGATACAATCTGCCACAAAGGTATTCCAATGTTGACATGAACTACCCGTTGTCATAAAACTTTATCCAAGAGGTCATTAGATATATTTCACTGTTTTGTTCTGAGAGTTCGAATGAGCTCAAGTTCCAACCACCTTCTGCCTCGTTTTTAACAACGCTCAGCATCTTTGCAACAGCATAGCTGCATTGTAATGTGGGCACCACAATGCCTGGAACCCTCTAATATGTCACATACTGCTGAAATATTTCTCCAAACATAAAAATTAACAGCGTCTCACGCAAAGCTCAATTCGTGACGACAGCTGCTATATTATGACCGTGTCGGACCCTGTCGCGACCCTGCTTTGGGTGCTGCACTACGACGCTGTTTTTGGCTGTTTCTGGTCACCGAAGGCCGACTGAGTTGTTTGTTGCTGTTTCTGGTAACCGACTGGGCTGTGTGGTGCCGCGCTCACAACCCGGTACAGAGCACGATTACGCGACGGGCAGATCATAAACCCGGGCGCGAACACGTTACGAGACGCTTGCCCACGCGTTCTCCCGTGCGAGGAGTTACCCGAGAGTTCCGAAACCCGCCAATGGAGAGTTGGCTGTAGCCTGTGACGAGCATGCCTGGCGGTGCAGCATGGGCGCCAGGGGCGGAGCCGCGGGTTGGCTGGCCGCCGGCGGCAGAGCGCCAGCGGCGGCCAGGGTCCGCTCGTAGAACGCAACAGCGCCTATGAGTCTACGTCCCGCGTTACCAGTCCTGCCCAGCCAGCATTTAAGCATTACCGCCAGCCACAAACCCCCTCTGCTGTCCTTCTTGGAGACATCTCCGCGAAGTTTTGGCCCAATTACGTTTAATCCAAAATGCTGGCCGCATTGGCGCGGCTCTTGCCCTGAATTTCGGAAAAGCCCGATCAAGGTCCGAAGGCAACTAAATGATTTCTCCCTATACCGTGATAGTGCCCATTGAATTGACCTGAATGAAACATATTGCGGAGCATGGACAGACGTAACAGCGGAGCTTCCTTCGGCTGCATAGCCGCGGAGTGCGCCGCCTGACCCGGCTTGAGGCTGGGCGCCTCACACCACGGGGTAAGAGATTGAAACAGATACTCATGCCTGAACTCTGTCACCGTTTGGCACTTAATGAGTTGTCATATCAGCAATGGACATCACGAACAATTATATCTGGACATCGAAATGTATTGGTAGATGAGACCTCATCTTTCAGAAGAAGCTGGCTCTACTGACCTGGCTTTGGCGGCGGCGGCGGCGGCGGCGGCAGGGGCATGACGTCCGCCTTTTTCTTGCTATTTTTGTAGCAGTACCAGCCGATAACGGCGATGCCACCGACGCCTGCACAGCTGGTCAGCGCGATAACCACGATCGCTGCATGCACACAATCAGCAAACCGCCATCTAACTGCCAAACGAGCAAACCACCATCTACGCTATCGGGGACAATGGTCATCACCGTGGAGACACCGACTGGCGTGATACAAACTGGTCGTCAGCATTCCCACTCCCCTGGATGAAGCATTCTATCCTTCTGCTCAAGCCAGGATTCCTGTTATATAAAGCGACGCAAACAGTGAAAGCTGGACCCGAGAAATAAATATAAAAAACAGGCGAGTGATACTCCTAGCATAAAGCCAATTAAGAGCCCGCACATTGAGATGCTCCTTAGCTCCGTCAGTTGGTTCATAGCATTTTCGCATTTTCACATCATTTATGCACGGAACAATATTGTGATCGACGACTGACTGATGATCGATGAATGAAGATTGAGTCCTTGTTGATCAAACGATTTATGCATGCGAGATACCCGTACAAGCCGATTTATAGACCTGAGCTCGTTTAGGCCCATCAAAGCCGGCGCGACGCGTGCGGCAGGTCGTCATCACGGGGTAATGAGCGCGGCTCACGCTGGCCAGGCCCGCGCGCCACAGGTGAGCGGCGAGTGGCGTGCCGTGGAACAGAAAGCGAGGCCGACCCGGCCGGCCGACTGTCCGCTGCGGCCACTTACTGAGCGTGCCGGACGTGTCGGAGCTCAGCGCGTCGGCCCCGGCCACCAGGCTGAGCAGCACGGCCAGCACGGCCAGCACACTCCTGCCGGCGCCGGCCGGTGGCGAGCAGCGCCGCGAGCCGTGAGCAGCGACTCGAGCCATCGGCGCGGCGGCGGTGCGACGGCCCGGGCGGCTGGGTGGGGGCGCGCTCATCTGTTGTCACCCGGACACTGGCAGCGAGGGCGGCACCGCCGCGCCGCCACCCGGCCCGCCCTAGTTACCGCATCAACAAACCGGCCCCCAAACAGTAACGGCGCCGCCTCGATAATCCACCCCGGACTGCCGAACCGGAGGGTGGCGTCGAGACTGGGACGGGCTGCGTCAGCGTCGCGCCGCGAGCAGACGCCAGGGTCAGCTCGGGGCTCAAGCGGCGTGCCGACGGTCATCTGGTCACACATCGCCCACGACACAGTCCGGTCACGCCCCGCCGCAGCTCGGTTGTCAGCTCAAGCTCGAAGCCTCCAAAGGCCCGAAATGGACCCGGTGACAGCAGGGCAGTCACGGCGTGCGTGTCTGGACTGTGACCCCATTCACTGGAAGACGCAGTGGCCAGTCTTGCTCCACCTCCGAAGGCCGCCTGGAAGTGCATACCCGTCACCACCGCGTACGCACCGTGGCCATGGGCGAGGCTTGGTTCAGCCCCAAGCCCGCACGACAAAGCTGGCGTTTTGGGGCGCTCAGTCCGGCATTGCGCCACATGCGACGGTGCGCGCCGTTAGTCGCGTTTTGAACGCACTCTGTGGCCGTCAGATGATATGACACACCATTTTATGTATCATGTTTGGGTGACATCACACCATCCAGGTATTGATCGCGTTCTGTCGCGATCAGATAATACGACACGCCATTTTTGTCGTGTCACGTCCGGGTGAAATGAGACCGCATCACATGTCACAGCACATGTCATGTGATGTCGCGCCTGCCTACTGACCGCGCTGTGTCACGACCAGACGGCATGGCGCGCCTTCTGTCATGTCACGTTCGGGTGACGTACAGTTGTCGATGTATTGGCCGCACTCCGTCACGATCAGACGGTACAGAGCGCCATCTGTGTCATGATAAGCTCGGGCGTCACGAGAGCGCCTGTCACGGCCTGCTCGCTGGGTCCGCGCCCTGCCCCGGTACAGCCAGGTGTGAATGTTACCCTGGCAGGACTGGTCTGTTCGAGGCCGATATGTTCGAGACCGATGTGTTCGAGACTGGTCTGTTCGGGGCCGATACGTTCGAGACCGATGTCTCCGAGACTGGTCTGTTCGAGGCCGATGTATTCGAGCTTGGTCTGTCCGAGGCCGATGTGTTCGAGACCAATGTGTTCGAGACCAATGTGTTCGAGACCGATGTGTTCCAGACTGGTCTGTTCGAAGCCCATGTGTTCTAGTTCTGATATCGTTTTGCTTACCACTGCAGTTTTTGAAAGCTCTACGATCCTGGCAGATGACTTGAACAATCCACTGCGAGGCAAAAGGCAATGCAGAATCTGTGCTTAAGTGCGCCTCTCTGCTGCAACCGGCAAACTTGCGCGTCTTGCGCCAGATGAGACCTGTTCAGACAAGCGCACGTTTCGCTAGCAGAAAGATAACATGTGATGAATTTTGGGTCAGTGCGACAGGAAATACTTTAAGCCGCTTTAAATAATTCCACTAACATGCCAGATTTGCATTGTGAACCACTCGGTCCGACCTTCTTTAGCTACGTTCTATCCGTAGCTACGTTCTATCCGTAGCTACGTTCTATGATAGCCCTCTGCGGACACTCGCAGGGCAAGCACCACACCCCAGCCTTGGAGTACGTACTGAGAGTAACGAAAGCCTGTTCTCCCGGCGGGGTTTTCATGTATTCATTAAGTCCGATAGGGACAGGAGGAGACGATTAACAAACATTGACCATATTCACCTCCCGTCTGCCGTGCCTGCGTGCTCCACTGTCTGCCATGTCTTTAATCGGGGCGCATCCTCGCTTTTCGTCCTCCGAATTGGGTGCTCTGGTGCCTCACATTCTCCGGCGACATGAGACTATTGTTACGCTGTCTCCAACCACTCGGACCCGGGCCTTTCCCAACTTATAACAAAATGCATAAACAAGGTACGAGGTCACACATCTTAACACGTAAAACAAATGATGATAACACACAAGTATGGTCACGACGAATCTAGGAACCCGCATGAACGGCTTCTTTCCGGCCAAACCGCGGTCTTAGATGGTGAGGAACGCTACACGTATTAATCACATGGTCTAAAGAATGGCTCAAAGCTCTGGTACGTCGTCACACATATCGTGCTAATAGAGCAGATGGGAGGTCAATGCGCACCGGTTTCATTTGCCGGAAACCGTTTTCGAAACAAGCTGATTACACGGACTACACTACCGACACACAGTCTTCTAGGAAAGCATATGTGGTGACTACTGCACCCGAAACGAGCAAAATATATGGGATATGCTAGGCTGCGCAGTAACAACATGCCATACTATCTAATGGGAGCACCAACAATGGCTCGAGGACTTCCGCGCCCGCTACCCACTTTTGGCGTTATCTGCTGAGATGGTTGCGTGTCACACACGCACACAACCGTGTGCACATGTACACACACGGGTTCGACACATGAAGATATATTACACTAAAAGAGCTAACCTAAAGTAATGGAAAACAGCCCGATCCGTACAATACGTTGCGGTCTCGCTTGCCACCCAGGTGTCAATGTTCAGTACCACGCGTCAAAACGAAGACCAAAGAACATTTCGTTCGATAAACAAATCATTCGGCGAAGTTTTAACGGCGAACGAATTTCGCCACTTGTCACTACTTTGTGGGTCACAATGGTTTCGATCGCTGTACTTCATGATGCTTCCACCTAACGATGGGGCCTTGTCGTTCTGATGGCACCAGTCCCGTTCCTCTGTGCCTTGCTGGAGGTGCCGCTTCCAAGACAGATCCTCCTCACGCCCATGACCTCGGGAAGAACGGAGGAGGCCCGCTCCTGCCCCAGAAGGACTTGGTCGGCAGCTCTGGGATCACCTGCTCCGCCTCGTTCGGGCCAAATTCGTCCGCGAAGTTGCTGAGAAAAGAGCTCATTAATCTCACCGCGAGCGAGACGGCTGGTTGACTCAGTCTCACTGGAATTGTGATGAGGTTTGCGATTCGAGCGGTCCGGCCAAGTCCGGCCCTAACAGTCACGTCTTCTACAAGGCGATATCATTCATCGCATCATCGCATATTCATCGCATATGTGATAAACATGCAACGCACGCGATATATGATGATGAGACATATTCATCGCATATTCAGTAAGCTTTGATTAAGGGAAGTGCCGTTATGCAAAGGTTGTGCTGTTTGCTCATCAGGTGGATCTGTTTTGTTGTGTGGTGGATTTGGAATCTGGATAAATTCGTAAGCATCTGAACGCACCCTATGTGATCAGGCTGGGCTTTCCGGCGGCGTTGCAATATCATCAATACATCATCTCCCACATTCGATGAAGATGTGAGAGGTGAACTGCTCCGTTTTCTAGAAAACTGAAGAACTTGGGTCGCAACCGGGTCAAGATCTCGACGGCTCGGTATCCAGTGACGCGAGACTGGGACTAACGGAGCTGAATCCGAAAAATCATTCTGGAAGGAATGTGGGTCCTTGTGTGTGATCCAGCAAGCGCTATCCTATACAAACTATATGCTACATATACCGTTTTGGGACGTTTTAATGGTCTGTGTCAGATTTCAGCAACCGCGTCAGATAAATGTTAGAATACCACAAATCAATCATCTGCGTGGCATAGACCGTGACAGCCCACAACCAGATGAAGGAACTGGTTGTGAGCTTTTGACAGACTTTGCGTTTGTAGCAATACCTTGGTCAAAGTGACCAAAACCTTCATCAGGTGCACCTTCATCCAAGTCATTGAAGCGTGAAGTATGACACCGGAAAGTCCAGACCTACGATTCGGTCCCCAATAATTGTTGGGAGGCGTCGTGCTTCGGTGTAGTCGTCTGTAGCTGAACATGAGTATGAACACAGGTTTCGTTTGCACCTTGGTGTAAGGAGAGTCTCTGTGTGTAAACTGATCTGAACGAGGGTGAAGTCCCGGCTGTGGTCTGATCTTAGAGGTGGGCATGGCCTCAGCCTGTACGTTAGCCTGAATATGAGTCTAGCTTCCGTCCGCATACAGTGGGGCGTGCATAAGCCATTCCCTGTGAGTCTCCGTCTGTACCCCGCGGGCAGAGGAGGGTCCTCTCCTGTGGGTCTCCGTCTGTACCCCGCGGGCAGTGTGTGAGGTCCTCTCCTGTGTCTCCATCTGTACCCCGCGGGCAGTGTGTGAGGTCCTCTCTTGTGAGTCTCCATCTGTACCCCGCGGGTAGTGCGGGGTTCTCTCTGGCGGGCCTCCGTCTGTACCCTGTGGACATTGTGTGGGTCCTCTCCTGTGAGCCTCCGTCTGTACCCCGCGGGCATTGTGTGGGCCCTCTCCTGTGAGCCTCCGTCTGTACCCCGCGGGTAGTGCGGGGCCCTCTCCTGTGAGACTCCATCTGTACCCCGCGGGTAGTGTGGGGTCCTCTCCTGTGAACCTCCATCTGTACCCCACGGGCAGTGTGTGAGGTCATGTCGGTTGCAGGCTGCGTCTGGCCTGTGGTGCTCACCTGAGATCTCCCGACAGGCCGTTAGCCTCCTGACAGCGCGGCTCGCCAGCCGTTGGCAGGCACTGCAAGCCCGGACAGCAGCCGAACAGGCCCGGCTGGCAGGTAGCCCCAGCGGCACCGCACACCATCTTCCCGCGCAGGTCACCACCAGATGGCACCGGAGCCGCCACCGACTGACGCGCACACACAAACGCATATTCACGCATTGTAAGCTAAGGGGACGAAACGCAGCTAATGGCAGTAGTGTTTTGCAGTGTCAATGCAAGAAGCAGCGTTGATTCAAGATGCTGGCTGTGCTCTATTGTTGAAACAGTGTGTGGAAAGAGCTTGCAAACCCTTTGTTGTTCAGGGACGACGTTGACATTTGGATTTTCAATAAATGTTTCTGGCTGAAGATTATTTTTTACGTTTTTGTGCAGTTCGGTTTCCGCAATGGCTGCATTAGCCCCTGAAGCCAAATAGGAGGCCTTGAACATGCCATAACAGAATGAAAATGTACATTGATTTCGTCGATCAGCATTAATCGCTCTCACGAGATGACCCAAGGGACGGGCCAGCGCGCTGTCGGCGGGGCCCAGCCGGCGCTCGGTCTGAACACGGGGCGAGCGCAGCTACGCACCGTGCTGTGCTGTCGGCGCGCGGCTGCGGCGGCGGACCGCGCCGCGCCGAGCATTACGACGGGCCAAGTCAGGTGTCAAGAAGGGATCTCGCTTTTCCAGAACTCAGAGAAGATGCTTTGTCAGACATCTGCGTGTAAAATGCGTGCGTGTCGTAGCGGCAACCCGTGTCGGGATGGTTCGGTGTCATTTAAGCTACATCTTGATATCGATTTTCTTACTCGTTTGAAGGTGCCACCATACTGTTGGAACCACCGCGGACTCCACTTGTAAAAAGGCTGATCCTCATTGAACTGCAAACAAAAAGATCATGTGCCACAGGCCGTTCCAAGACAACGATTACCCATTCAACAAGAAACGTATCCTATCGCATACGCACCTGGAGTTGGAAAAGCATGCGAGCAGCACTCGATTTGATGAACATCTATGATGGCATGCACTTAGTGAAAGAGTAGAAATGATCGACGTCATGATGTTGCATATCGGGACCCAGATGATTTCAATTGATGTTGGGAAAAACTCGCAGTCATTTTACACCTGTATATACGTGGTGAGCTAAAATCGCCAAATCCAAAAACAGTCAACAAGGTATTTATACAAATCGCGATAGACTCGAACAACTGACTTCGCACCTCCCTACAACGCATCGCAAACGCCAACACCGATCTTGGGGGCTCAGGTTTCGCGGCGCCCATCTGACAGACTCCTTGCTCGTGCGGAGATGATCACTGATCACTGATCCAAATGAACCAAATGGTACGCGAAGTTTAGTCATAATTTTATAATCTTGATCCGCCTACTTCCAAGATCACCTCTTGCAACGCTCCGAGCAGTTCGGGCGTTGTGGCCTCAGAGGGCCTCCCTCACCGAGCGTCATCTTCAGTGAGCCCTCCCTCACCGAGCGTCGTCTTCAAGTGAGCCCTCCCTCACCGAGCGTCGTCTTCAAGTGAGCCCTCCCTCACCGAGCGTCGTCTTCAAGTGAGCCCTCCCTCACCGAGCGTCGTCTTCAAGTGAACCCTCCCCCACCGAGCGTCGTCTTCAAGTGAGCCCTCCCTCACCGAGCGTCATCTTCAAGTGAGCCCTCCCTCACCGAGCGTCGTCTTCAAGTGAACCCTCCCCCACCGAGCGTCGTCTTCAAGTGAGCCCTCCCTCACCGAGCGTCGTCTTCAAGTAAGCCCTTCCTCTCCGAGAATCATCTTCAAGTGGACCCTCCCTCGCCGAGCGCCGTCTTCAAGTAAGCCATCCTTCACCGAGCGTCGTCTTCAAATGAGCCCTTCCTCAACGAGCGTCATCTTCAAGTGAACCCTCCCTCGCCGAGCGTCATCTTCAACTGAGCCACGTCACGTTCACGTGTAAAATCGGCGGACCTTTTAGCCACCGCTGAGTAACCGGAGCACGAGAAGCAGTCCCGGCATACACATTGACAGGGATATAGTTTCCTATCCAGTTGGAGCAATCAGCCCCCCTCCCAACTTGGATTCCAGTCCTCCAAAATTAAGGGGAAAGTGAGCTAGATCGAGGGGAAAAGTACGCCTGCTGGGTAGTTTTGGGAGGTTCCTTCATTTTGCGTTGCATTCTGCGGCCGCTAACTCATTTTGGAAACTTCCGCCCCTGCACACCGACCAGGCATTGGTGAATTTCGTTGGCATTCTGAGCTTACGTCAGAATTTGTACAACTACTCTCCATTCAAGTTTTGGATATACCGGCCATTGGCGCCTCACCCCTGCCTTTGAGATGTTTCAGTTCAGCGTGCTTTAGCAACAGGACAGCAAAAGGTCATATTGTAAGTAAAGCGCGTGCTTTCACCTCATGATGACGAGCATGTGTTACGCTGCCAAAACCTACTCCATTCTGCGAAATGCTTGACCTACTCTCGTAAGAAGTCTCCCCCGACCGCTGAGACCACGCGAGCTGTGCGTAAACCTTGACGGCGGTGAAATTCAACAGGAGGTTCAGAGACAACCTCAACGTTTGATTGCCGTATTTGCGCAAAATTTAAGGTCAATAACAGGCGGAATTCAGAAAATCCACAATAGTTTCCTGTACTCTACTGGAGTGTGCAAATCCGTGCTCTATGGGAGCCAGTGCATGTCTCCACTGTCTTGACCGTGAACAGCTTTTCGCAAGCGCTCGTCGGCGCCGCATCTCATTGCATGTTGGACCTGGGTAAGTTCAGCCTGGTGTTGGTGAGTGGTGCTGTGCTCAGGTTCGCTGACCCAGAACAGTGTACAGTAAATCCTTTTTGTACTTTTATGCCCCTTTTGTAACCAACAGTTAAATTCTACCAATCCATATCTGTATTATTTCAGATGATGGCCGTTGGCTGTGTCCTGCAGCTCATGGCCAGGATATGACAATGGAAGCGCTTTATACTGAGCACGCTGGCAACCCTTACCTGCATTAAAGAATATTCCAAAGAACCTTTTGGTCTTTTCCTGGAGGCAGTTTCCAAGTTTGCAATTCACATGTACCATTAAAGTGCTTGACTTACATGACAATGTAAGTCGCATTGAAGTGTGCATTCACGTGATAGGAGATGCATGCACGCTGATTCAATAAATGGTGACTGGCACTGTCCCGTTAACGTCTGTTTGCTTTAATGAAAATGTGCGATGAGGTATTTTCTAAGAATCATAATGCATCATGATTATATAGATTTGGAATAAACCAAATCCAGATTAAACTGCACGTCATTCATTCCATCTTAACATGTTAACCACGAGTATTTGACTACGTGAGGTTCGATTCAAAGTGATTATATCGTCGTCCTTCACCCTTCGCGCCTCGCTTAAGTTCAGATAACACACTCTTTTTCTGGATTGCAACATTTAGTTGTAAAATCGTACACTCAAGTGGGTAGGATTGCACATTCCAGGCAAGTAGGCAATGTTAAACAGTTTTTGTCACCTGAACATGCGAAAGGACTGAATACAAACGGTCTATGTACCACGAATAATGACCAAGAGTGCAACTGTGAAATAGCTAATGCATCTTAGAAAAGTCGGTTGAAAGAACGTTTCTTTTTCTGATAAGTTTTACTGTTTACATTGCTTTGTATAAAAACCTAAATGCAACGTTATGTTTTCTATGAAATCGAGTCATGAGTGCATGGCTGCGATGATAGTACCACTTATTTTGAGTTGATTTGATTTGATTTTGATATTATTTTAATTTGACATGATTTGATGTAATTGCCACGAGACATTGTTTCCAAACCAGGAAGCCTGTAACCACAAATACATTCTTCATACCAATCATGACAGACACTCCTGCCTTCCAACATGTATTTCGTATCTGTAGTTCTCCTGAACCTCATTCGTCATTTAGTTTTTGAGTAAGCCAACAAAGCAGACCTTATTTCAGCTGCCAATTGAAAATCCTACGATGCATGGAAGATAAGAAACAAAATCGGAACAATGCCATGACATGTTTGTGATAACAGTGTCATGACAGTTTCGTGCCGGCTTTGCTCGAAAACTGATCTCGCGGTGAGCGGTATGGCCGCGGGGCGAGAACCGGATCCGGTTTTATTTTAAAAAGATCTGTTCGGTGTTGCTTGTGCAATGTTGGGACGGCACATTGAAGCGCCATGCTTGAATGCGCGCGTATTGTGTTCTGAGTGCTATTCCATGTCAAGCCTGGATCTTAGTTTGACATGTATCCAGGAAGGGACAGGACGGACTGGCATGGTCAACTTAGATCAAGCAGCCAGCTGCTGAATACTTAATGATCCTTAATCCCCACTGGCCTGATATTTCACAATCGTGGCCCTTTCATTTGGCAACTTTTAGAAGCTACCAGGAAAATAATTTTCGCCGCACCTTCTCTGAGAAATTTGCAGGTTCTAATCCAGGACTTCAAGCAAAAAATCCACCGCTACCGGGGTCATTCCACCGACGCCACGTCTCGTTGCGTGTCTGGCCTGTCTGAATCCCGTCACTCCACTGCCAGCTGATTAGCGCCGGCGGGCTCGATGGTGAACTCCAGCTGACGTCCGAGCGTTATTACCAGCTGCTAATGGAGCTCCCCCGACAGAGCCCCGCACGGCAGTTCCAGGGATGCGACAGAGCGAACGATGACGCAGATGACTTACTTTGCTCACGACATGCCAGCTGGACCTTGGCACCTATATTCAGCATGCAAGCTGCGGAACATGCAAACTTCAGGTCGGCGTCGAGAGCGCATTTCGAACTTGATAACACCCCACCCGGCCTAAAAATGAATGGCTTATTGTGCCACGCTGTCATGTCGCGTTATATATTGTTCCGTGCTTAATACTGCCTGACCATTTGTCGTCTGACAAAAATCGATCTCCACGCTGAAAGCAGATTATCCCCATGCTGGCGGGTAAATCTGTCAACTGCAAATTTGCAAGTATTATTTGTTCTGCAATCTGTACGTGCATAGCCTATGCATTTGTTGTGCGTTACAGTCACGTAGTTTGAGAAAGTGGGAGTGATAAATCTGACCAGTTCAGTTGAAATTGAAAGGCCCTTTAGGGCTCGTGTACGATATTAGCGCACTGCACTCACGCAGGGTGCCAAATACGGGTGGAAAGATCCATACATTAAAAGATCAGTGCCGGGGGGGGGGGGGGGGGGAGGGGGGAGGGAATGGAGGCGCCGAACAAGTACCAGAGGCCTATCGTTTTGGGCCAATCAGTTGAGATCGTGTGTAGTTAGTGAATGACTAAACTTGCAAACTGACCACAAAAGGGATTTCCCTGCAAACTTAACCCTATCCATATGCAAGGGATAAGGATTAGCCTCAAAGCTGATTTTGGATGAATAGGGCTAGGTAAACGGGGCCTACGTAGGCTTCCGAAAAAGATTGGGATACTTTGTTCGTTAGGAGAAGCACATCGATTTCAATGTGTTTCATATCGTCGCCAAACGGCGCTTCTATGGGACAGCATTATTTTTACACAGATCCATAGCGATTCAACTTTATTTATGAGAGTAGTCCGATGCTGCCTGCCAACGGATTTGCAGGACTTGTTTCGGACATTTTTGGATGAACTCCATTTCACTGGCTGAGCCCACTTCTCAGCCTAACCAATCCACTCAGCCTTCCAGTGGATAGCAAGAGTAGCCATCCCACGTCAGCTGTCCGGAACATGTGACACCGTTTCGGCGATCACCTGCTAGACCAGCACAGCTCCGCACAGCACGGGGCCAAGTGGGACAAACGCGCGATGGAGGTCGCCTTCACAGCGAATCTCGTCCATCATCGCGTGCCATGGGTCGCTGAGTACCGCGCTCGCCCCGCCCGATGGACCGATGGCACGGGTTAGGAGTGTCGAGCCGTCACCGGCAGGACCGATGGCACGGGTCAGGAGTGCGAGCCGCCACCGGCAGGACCGATGGCACGGGTCAGGAGTGTCCAGCCGTCGCTGGCAGGACCGATGGCACGGGTTAGGAGTGTCGAGCCGTCACTGGCAGGGCCGATGGCACGGCTTAGGGGTGTCGGGCCGTCACCGGCGGGACCGATGGCACGAGTCAGGGGTGCGAGCCGTCACCGGCGGGACTGATGGCACGGGTCAGGCGTGCCGAGCCGTCACCGGCGGGACCGGTGTCACGGGTGAGGGGAATAAGATGGCCTACGTACATTAATTATGCACGTGGCATTCGTTAAGTAAGTTGTGTTTTTGATGGGGAGGAATTCAAGACGGCTTGAATTTTTGACTGTATGAGTAAGGTCCGTGACCGAAAATTCATCAGAAAGACAACTTACTTATGAATAGCACGCATTAAACATCGTAAGGAGGTCATCTTAATTCCCCTTAAATATATGTATATATATATATATATATATATATATCACATTCATTTGTTTATTTATTTCCGTCTTGAATGATATCATCAATGACCAATCGAGATCGCATGGAACATGCGCGTTTCGTATCACTGTGTGTTAATTACCCGGGTGAAGCCACCGTCGTGCACTTTTCAGAGCATAGAAAGTGCCCAATCTCACCACTTACGCGTTTGTACATGCTGCGTCGGTAGTGGCTGTTGAAGAAGTTGGGGCTCCACTTGAAGATGGGCCTGTCGTCGTTGTACGCGGTGCCGCAGACGGCCAGGGCGGCCACCACCAGCAGCAGCTGGCATCCGACCACTGAGAGCTGCGCGCTGGCTGACATCCTGCCGCAGACGCAGCCGGCCGTGTTGTCGCTCGGCCAAGACAACGACACACCCCTGAGCGGGACGAGAACAGCACGTCATTCAATACAACAGTGCGAGGGAAAGAAGTGAGTGAATGAAGTTGCGCACGAGGTGAATCTGTGCGTATGCGTCTTACATGCCACGATAATGATGGGTTAGGTGAGGCAGGGCGAATGATGATAGTGTTATCTTATGCCGACACGGGGGGGGGGGGGGCTCATGCCAACATGTGACACGGATGCCAACACGAAGTCCGTCTGACCCCCGTCTAACACAGAGGCTCGTCTGACTCCAGTCTGAAAAGGAGGCGACACACCTGATACAGCGCTGCACTTCGGCAGTGCACTCCAACACTGTCAGTAAGTTGTTGCACTCTACTATCGGCCCGTATCTCGTAGGGTCCATATTGCCGCGTCTTTCCAATTTCTCTAACATCTTCCGACTGGCTCATAACGCTCGATTCATTCTCGGATTCATGGCACACAAGCCACACCTCATAGCCCATTGAATGGGACAAGCCTGATTTTGTGCTCCCCAAAACTGTACTTGTAAGACGAAATACGGTCCAATGCAGAGCAAGTGAGCCGCCCACATCGCGCGTCCAGCTCTGTGGGCCACTGAAGTGTCTGCCATGAGATTGGATCCGGTTTGGGGGGAGGACGCTGACGTTCGCCTTCCTATTCGACCCTTCATCGTGGTGATCCAGGGGCGCTCTGGGGTTTTACCCACGCGGAGAGCGGTGAGTGTCGAAATCGTTTCAGTGCTGGACGGCAGTAACACCTTGGCGGACCGCTCAGTTGGCTGTACTTGAGCCCGTTCGTATGGCAAGAACCATTCTGTGTGTGGAAGTTGGAGTTCTCGACATCGGCGCGACCAAGCAAACATATTTTTGGCGAGTCCGCGGGTAGGTACATGGCTTAAATGCGCAAGTTTGCTCCACATCGTGTATTGGGATGATGCTAATATATAATACCTCAAGCTGGGTCGACATCCCGCACTCAAATGTAACCTGAAATATATTGTGGACAAATATTGTCTCCCCGTTCCTCATTTCACTCCAAATTGTTTGTTTTTTGGTGGAATCGTCGTCAGGACACCATTTTAGATAAATGTTACTGCATCCGCACGATTTTTTCCTGCAGATAGGCGCGAACCGATCCAGTTATCTTGCTCAATCACATACCTACATATCATCATGATCAGATGTATGTGTGTTCCTCTTCTTTGACATAAAAACATTAAGTCAAGTCGATGTGTACGGATTTTTAACTCCAATCAGGTAATTGTGTTTCGGCTGCCTCAACATAGCATGTGAAGCAATGAAGCGCCCTTTACCCATCAACTGCACCTTACCCATTAACTGCACTAACTGCATTAACTTACCCATTAACAATTCACAAGCGAATAATTCCCATCCCCGACTATAATCCCCGACTATAGCTCAGCTTTATTTATGGGCTTATAAATTCGCTCAGAGATCTTAAGCAAGGTACGCATCAACCTCCAAACGAGTACGGCATGGATAATTCCGTGAACCATGCACAAACGGATTACACAAAATGGTGCAAAAATCTTGTCCGAAATCCGTGTGAGTAAGAATAAAACCGGAAGATCGACATCATTGCGGCCACATTTGAGACGGCTTCCAACCAGTTCAGGAAGCAAAAGACGGCAAATTGTATGAATAAAAAACGAAGATGCAGCCACTGGATTTGTTTATCACTATTCAGGTTGATAGCTATGCGACTGTTTTAGTGCTCATATCTAAACTGGAATCCTATTTTCAGGTGGTGAGATCGGGTCAGATCAGATCACAATATTCAGCGCGATATTTGAGTTAACTCTTTTATTTTTGGGGTTGTCATTGCCAAGGATTGATCGCAGCGTTGTTCTGTAGGCTCCATAGCTCCGTGTCCTATTCCTAATTTGCCCGCATGCTACTGTCGTAGATGGTTCCATGAACGTATTTGTCTTGCAAACATAGCACAAAACGGCTGCAAAATAAGTATATGATGGCGAACATCAGTCAAAAAATGCAGCACATGTATAATTAGGTCAAATGAATCAGTAATTAGGCTCATTGATGGACACATAGAGACCATATTATTTGTTACTTACGCTTAAAATGGAATATTCCCACAACCTAGAATTGCATTTGTAATTAAGCAATTTGTTCGATTAGTGACCGAAATCTGGGGCATTGTACAGAAAGGGGCGGGAGGTAATGCCCAATCATAGAGAGTGGGTATCCGGATAAGAATTCCTTTACCGAATTTATGTGCTGCCCATGGGGCTGTGCTCTCACAAGTACAGGTCAAGCAGCATTAAGGCACTTAAAGCTTTTTTCGCGAATTGCTTAAGTTGATTGGAAATTTTAACATCAGATGGTGGGTTCAGTGCTGAAGACGTCATTTCGAAAAATGCGCGCATGTTGACACCTGATCTGGCTTAGAGAGTGAACCAAGCGAAGTACACAAATATAATGGGCATGACATGAACCCAGAATAACTCATCTCAACGATGTTGGTAGCACTTGCGCATCATGGGAGTAAATGATCGCTTATTTACAGACCAGCCTGTCCGATGTAAGCTCTATTAAAAAAGAGCTTGATGCGTTAACTTACATTTTTCCTTCGTAGATTTTGAAGCAATTGGCTCAAAGGGAGGAAAATAACGAGAAAATTCGCCTTTTCTCGTGCAAAACGGGCATCCCCGGTGCTTACCTCGATCACCGAACTGCGTAAGCGAGTGGAAACGGATCTGGGCGCGCCCTCTGCGCGGCTCACTTCCGACGGTCTAGAGATTAATCTGACACAAACGAAACTAATTATTTTTGGGACGGCAGCTCCACTCGAAAAGACTTCTGGCTATGCAACCAGCTGTGATTGCATAGCTGTAAAACTAAGCAAAGCATCAAAATGTTTGCCGTTCTTGTGAGTCAGGGACTGACCATGCGAAGACAGGCCAGGGAAGCAGCACGGTGATGCTACGGCAATCCAGTCACGTGGGTACACTTCCAGGCGCTCTCCCGTGGGACAGGATTGCTCACATCGTACAACGCTTGTCGTCTGCACCTACCGTCTGGCGGCGCGCGGTCCACCACACAGCGGCAACGTCAACGTGTAGATCAGATCAGATCAGATCAGATCAGATCAGACACAATGCAGCTTGCATAGGCACTGGTAAACGCATGCAGCGCTACATTTCTGACGCATGATGACAGCTTCAGGGAGCGCCGTCACAGGATCGACTGCAGAGATCGTGTTTTAGTGCAAAACTCTGTTGCACGGAATCCACGAACCACAACGTCCGATAAAAGGCCACATCCTGTCACATCTGTCGGATCAAATGTTTGTGAGCGTAACGCCGACACATCCACGGCTGGCATCGACATCAATCCCTCCCCCTCCCCCCTTACAAACGTAGCTGCCGCCTGGAGGCAGCCCGGATCATGTTGGCTACTGTTTGGTTCACATGCACTTTAAAGGACCTTAACGACGATTTTATGATGGAGCCGACACGTAAGAGCCTTAAAGGCGTTCCAGGAACAATCCCCCTGACTGAGCTATAACACTTAAGAGCCACATTGCCTCAGTGTGACACTACGTGCCTGCTGCGCACATGAACCGTTTGCAGCTCGCTCTTCCGTGGCCCGTGAACTGTAGCTATGCTCTGGCAACTTCGCCATCTTGTCTTTATATGCAAGAATTGCTTAGTGTTTTTTAGTATGTCACCATCAACCACAGACCGTGTCATTATCATAAAAGCGGTGTGATTATCACCACAATGCAGAAACCATCATTGTCATGATTTGCATCCCACAGAAATGTGCAGAACAACTGAAATATCGCTACTTTTGCACTACATCTTCGGCTGTGATGCTATGGTTTAGAGCGGAAGCCTGCAAATTAAATGACTCCAATATGTTTTGCCTGTGACTAAGCAAAACGCTGTAAAGTGTTTTATAACGATTCGTGTGAGTGTTAAGCACGAATGTGTGTAGACTAAGCCTTTGAAATTCCTTTCCTTGGCAATTCAAAAGGGTTTTGTCTAAGACACATCCAAAATTCACATTGCGTTTTCATTCTGAAATTCGACGCACATTTTTGCGCTAGATATTTATTTGGCTGCATTCTCGTAAAGAGGTGCGCTTTGCGGCAACATACTGAATGATGCGAAACGTTTCACACGGCCCCGAGTATGAATGGCTTGCGAATCTACGCGGAAGTGTGATGCAAGTACGGCAGATTTATGGGGAGCGGGAGGGGCAGGGGAGCATCTGCCTGGACTTCGAGCAACATTTAATATTAGTCCTATGGTGTTGCCTGGAACGGGGTGAAAATTCCGCTTTTTATTCCGGACGAATCTTCACGGAGGCTCCTGCGCCGCTGCTATGAAAGCGTATTAAACACAGAAAATCCGATGTAGGTATGATCAGTTTTAAGGGATTCGAATGACTGATCATATCTGCGAAAGACGACAAGCGCGCTGGTATACATTAGCGCAACACATTCTGTCAAAAGCACAAACATCCAACTGTCGTCAGTGCTTCGTCAAGAGGTGAGAGCGCCAATTAACCCTTGCTTTCTGCACCAATGAATGTGACCTCCTCATTAGAGCAAGGACCGGAAGCAGAGTTCCCCCCAATTTACCGAAAATACCAGTACGCCGTTTTGCGTTGAATCGAAAGAGCGGCCTGAGAACCCTGGTCGTGACGGTCGCCGCTGCGGCCAGACGGCAGCGGGGCGGCCCCGGCGCCGCCGCCGGTCGCCGCCGCGAGCTGGGGTGTGGTCGGGCTCACCTGCTACGTCAGGGGATCGGTGACCGGGGCGGGATGCGGCGGTCGACTGGCACCGGACGCCGCCACGCCGCCCAGGTCACCGCCGCCGCGTGGGAGGAGGGCGCGGGGGCGCCGCCGCACCGCCGCACAATCTGCGCGTGGGAGGGAGCTGGACCAGCTCGGAGCGCTCGGGACGCCCACGGCTAAAACGCCCGGGAAGAGGTGTAAACTAGCACAAAGTACTGCTCGCAAGTGAAAAAACGCTGAAAACTTTGTGCAGAAGTCATGGCTGCAGGGAATGAAGGAGTAAAATCTCCTTCTGCCTTTCCGGAATCATTTCAGAGGAACTTTGTCAACATGGGTAACATTAAATCAGTATCCTTATGACGACACTTATTCTTGTTGTTCATGCATTTACGCTAGACTTAAGGTGAAATATAGCATTAGCGCTATTCTAAACGTTAAAGACGAGCACCGGCACATATATTCACAAATATGGATGGCCATGTGGTGCTGCATATTCCCCACCTTTGCATGGGGTCAAAGGGCATGGTAGCCATTGTTAAGATCATTCCCTGCAGTTTATAGTTGTGTCCTTTGCAAGAAGAGAGAGAAAGAGAGAGAGAGAGAGAGAGAGAGAGAGAGAGAAGAGAGAGAGAGAGAGAGAGAGAGGAGAGAGAGAGAGAGAGAGAGGGGGAGATGAAGAGAGAGGAGGGAGGAGAGAGAGGGAAGAGAACGAGAAGAGGAGGGAGAGAGAGAGAAGAGAGAGAGAGAGAGAGAGGGAGGAGAGAGAAAGAGGAGAAAGAGAGTAGAGAGAGAATGGAGAGAGAGAGAGAGCGAGGAGGGAGAAGAGAGAGAGAGAGAGAGAGAGAGAGAGAAGAGAGAGAGAGAGGGGATAGAGAGGGAGAGAGAGAGAGAGAGAGGAGAGAGAGAGAGAGAGAGAAGAGAGAGAGAGAGAGAGAGAGAGGAGAGAGAGAGAAGAGAGAGAGAGAGAGAGAGAGAGAGAGAGAGAGAGGAGAGAGAGAGAGAGAGAGAGAGAGAGAGAGAGAGAGACGAGAGAGAGAGAGAGAGAGAGAGAGAGAGGCGAGAGAGAGAGAGAGAGAGAAGAGAGAGATAGAGAGAGAGAGAAGAGAGAGAGAGAGAGAAGAGAGAAGAGAGGAGAGAAGAGAGAGAGAGAGAGAGAGAGAGAGAGAGGAGAGAGAGAGAGAGAAGAGAGAGAGAGAGAGAGAGAGAGAGAGAGAGAGAGGAGAGAGAGAGAAGTAGGAGAGATAAGAGAGGAGAGAGAGGAGAGAGAGAGAGAGAGAGAGCGCGTTATGCCCCGTGAATCGTCATTGGTACCAGGACCGGTGTGTGTGTCGTGTGTCGCCACAACATCCTGGGATACTGCAATGTCGCGAGCCGCCTGGAGCTTCCTTGCAGGGTTCCATTTGGAACCATGCAAAGAAGACTTTTGTCAAAAGACCTTTACCAAAGTCAAAAATTGACTTTTCACGTTGGTCAGTATATGCGACAATTCTATCAGCAAATATGCACAAGCTTTCTGAACCATTCAGGCATTGAAAACGTGATCGGAGAACAGGGTGAATTATGAATCACCATAATAGCCATTCGTCCGCTTTATTCGAGGAGTATGTGATTGTGAGATATTTTAGATAGCTAGAAGCATAGCATAGATTCAAACCCTTTTCAGAATTTCTGCACCAGGAGAAAAAATTGTTTGGCGTCTCGAACGCATTCTGCTCTCTCGAAGTCTCGGCAAAGTTTCCGATCGGACTTTGAATGGTGCTCTGCTTAGAACTGAAGACAACCCTTGCAAGATTAGAACCCATCCCACTAGGAAAATCATGGATGTGCGTCTATGGTGGAGGATTGCGTGAGCCTTTGGTGGATGGAAGACGGGCTGGTGGTGAACGCATGGAAGGATTGTCACCTTGTGGACAGACGGAATATCCACGAACGGACGAACAGTCGGTGAACGGACAAATACCATTCTGGGACTTGTCCTATCCCTGTCTATCCGCCCACAAACATGTGTGTGTTCCCGCGTAAAAGTACTGGGCCCGCAGGAAAAAATATTGCATGGGTTGATTCAGAATGCTAGACGGAGGTGCGACTGCACCCCTTCAGCTTCCCAAAACAGGTGCGTTTATAAGAAGCCAATGCAAACTGCCAGGCTCTCACATGCAATTGATGTGGCTACGCACATGAGCTGTAAAAACTGTAGTAAGTGTAGATTATATATCCCACACACACACACACACACACACACATATATATATATATATATATATATATATATATATATATATATATATATATATATATATATATATATATACACATTTAATGTTTTGATGGACTTAAATGACTAATATATTCAAGATATGAAAGCGAGAAAAAATGTGATGAAGTAAACTCACTTACACCTACTGGGATATTTCTAGGTGGAAAACACTGCTCTGGACCACAAAGTTTCTGTTTTTAGCAAACACGCTCCTCACCACGTCATTGTGTGATTGCGTCATGGAGCATCTGCATGATGTTGAGGTGCTGTCCAACTACCCATGCAAATTTGCCACCATTGGATTTTTTTGTCACCACACCATTTGTCACCTGGAGAGCTTGAAGCCCACAAGTAAGTGGTGGTGTCGGAATTGTTCGTTGAACCGAATATCATTGTGGGTCCATGTTCTGACCCCTTTTCGTGATATTCTTGCATATCTATCTATGAGTTTAGGTGCCTACCTCTATTCGCGTGCTCAGTCATGGCATTATTCTCGAGTTCTTCGATCGCATGTCCTATTTTCGCAAGTGAAGAAGTTATGTCAATCATCTTGCATTATGCAGTATAAAACGTGACTCGTGACTGAATCTTGCTCAGGCTGTTCAACATTTTTGGGAGTCAATCGACGTCCACCATGTTTTGAAATTGTACTCACGGACGCCAGATCTAAACGGCTAGACGATAATATTTGTCCTGGCCTTGCACGGCGCCTGGCCTATGAGGTGGTAAAATTTGAATGTGTTGCTTTGGCGTCATGCATACATGGATGGCCTTGAAATACTGTGCATGGAATAGCATGCACACACACACACACACACACACACACACATATATATATATATATATATATATATATATATATATATATATATATATATATATTCTCGGACGTGTAGCTCAATAACTAGCGGGTATAAGGTCTTAAGAAGGGCAGGAATTTGAACTGCACCAGGTGATCTTCAAAATGACTTATTCAGGTCGAAACCCAATGCAAATGCAGCACATTTCCTTTCAGAGAGGCTCTTAATATGCAGTGGCGGTTAATCCTCTGAGTAGGTGAAGGGAAAACGCAACGGCTTGTAACTTTGTTAATGCAACATGACCTGACACGGAAAGGAATTAGCTTGAGCCAACGTGCAAATTATTCTGAAGAATGGAACACTTGCCAACGCTGCCTTCCTTCCCAACGTTCCCGGCATCTCCTCCGTGGAACGTCCTACCTGCATGTGCTGCCTGTCAGTTACCGATAAATTATAGATTTGCTGCCTCTTGGCTTTTCCAGCCCCACTTTCTAGCGATTTACATGAGTGACTCACAATTTTCAGCACCACCTTATGGGCATCAACGTCACCTTGTGTAAATATTTGGTGAGCTGGATCTCGACAAGCTATGTCAAAATGAAGTTATCAGCGCTGTGGCCAGTACCTAGCGAAGTTGGAAGCTTCAGCCGTGTCCGGGATGCTGCTTGATATGCCATCACTCCATTGTGGCAATACATTTCAAAATTTCATGGAATCAACGAAGGTCGGGACGGGTGACTCCAAGCTAATGTTAAGCTGCCATAGGTGAGCAGCATTCATCGCTGTCTTCAGAACAACATTTAAGATAGACGGAATGGCATCATAGTACCTAAAGCCATATCGGTAGCGTGATCTTGCCACGGAACCTGTTGCAGACTTGAGGACCGTGTCACGTAAGCCGTATTTGGGGCGCACCCTCGCTTGACCTAGCACATTTGGTCATCTTGGACAAACATTGCCTTTGGTTGTGCACCGGTACGAGATTGTAACCATACAAGCAGCCTGTCACCATAAGTGTTTTTTTATATTTAATGTACAAGTCTCTTTGATCTGCACACAAATCAAAGGCCCTTGTTCAAGGATGACCTGACAGTCCAGACCATGACAGGTCAAAATAAAAAGCTATGCCGCAGCTATGCCTCTGGTTTCCCACATTCGCGGTTAAATCGATGCATCATCGGGACTCTGGACAGTATATTTCCAGCAATGCGAACTATGTTATGTACAACAGAATGTACATTTGATTATGTTCTCGTACATTCGTTCCATTATTTCAATGAAATCCTTCGCTGTTTTCGGAAAATCAGAGATCCCGTGCGTCGCCAAAAAGGCAGCTCGACGTCCCAGGCACGAATTCTGCATGAATGCCAATGAAATCGACCGACTGGCTGACACCCCCACTTTTTGAGCGCTTATTGGCTGCTGGTAAAACGAATGTGAGCCGATAGTCAGCATATTAATTTAAGCTAGTTTCTCAAGGAAATTGTTCTCGATTTTCTAAGGAAGGCGGGTTTGTCGCATGCATAAAAATACGAGGCTAGTGCAAAATGCGATCATGTTCTGGATAAAGGGGTAAGGAACGGGATGAATATCTCCGGGTTTGTGCAATCATTTAACCTAACATGGGGCGGGATCAGTGCATTTGGGACAGGTCAGAGTGAGTGATCCATGCTTTCTCCAGTGATTGCCGCGGCGTCCACCACACCGCGATATCAGCATCCGTCTAGGGTGTTCAGACCTCAGCATGCCCGGCCTGCGCCGCATCCAGGGCAGCGCCCTTTGCTGAGAGCGCAAGTCGGGACCAACGTCGCAATGGCAGCAGACTCGGACACCCAGCAGCAGCCGACCCGGCTACCAGTGGACAGCTGATAGGCGTCCCATCCGCCATGGGTGCCTGATATCAGACACAGCCAGCAACGGTGCTTCACTTGGCAGCCAGCAGACGGAAAACTAAGCAGCCCTGCTCGAAGAGAGCTCCACG